AGCGATGTGCCTGGGTGAGGCCCTGTGCTCCCAAGGCTGCCTGCGGGGAAGGGAGATCCCCTGGCGGAGCCGGGAGCGGCGGTTCTTGCCGTTGTGCAGGGCTCTGCATCAAGGGACATAGCATGTAGCCACCCTTTTGGATGGACCAAGGCGGCGGCCTCATCAGTCCAGCCATCCCTCTTTTCTACGTGCTGTGCGCGGCCGGCCATCGTTCAGCAATCCCGCATACACACCGGCTCTCCACCGCCAGGGGTTGGTCACTTACACGTGGCGGCCGTCTCCTGTAGGTCAGCTGCAGCTCGTGTGAACATGGAGGCCCCTGTTAAAAATCATGCACCAAGGTGGAATTTCACTGGAGTTCTGAGAGGTTTGTCGGCAGCCTTCTGGTTTTCCGACCCTTGTCGTCCATAAGAAGGGAAAGGAGTGTGGTCAGCTGCCATCCAAGAAAGGTGTGACAGGGTGGTAGAGTTAGCTACTGAGTTTCTGCTGCCTTGTCTTTGGTGGATGATAGTGTAGAGAAATAAATGATGGAGTGAAGAATGGTGTCCTTTTTAACTATTTCCCTGTGTAGCGCCTGTGCACTTTAGGCTTGTTTGGAATGCTGGGATAAAGGGAAAGGTAGCATTCTTCTCCTTACCCACTATGTTTTCACATACCACAGAGAACTTGAAAGTACAGCAGTTCAAAGTTGCACATAAATAAAAGCTTTCTACTACAAGGGTATTTAAGCACTAGTATAGAGAATTAGGGAAGATGTGGAAAAATTGCCACTTCAAGTTTTCTGAGCAGATTAAAAATACATTTTGCTGTTTTAAAATTAGAGGAGTTTAATGTATATATAAACTACCCACTTCTGATAAACTGAATTCAGCACAATTTTATCTAATTAACCATAAACATTAGCATATTTGGTTATCTTGGCAAGAAGATGTTTCAATTAACTAAAATATCAGAATTTGAGAAATAGTTCCTGGCAAACTTTTAAAAATCAAAATTAATATCAGGATTGTTATTATGCAAATGTTATGTACTTACATAGCAGCTGGGTTGACATAAAGTGTAATAGCTCCTCTTAAGTAGTCACATTACTGTATATTAGATTCATAGTCCCAAGTGGAGAAGAAATAAACATTTGTAGCTCTAATAACCCAATGTGACAGCACTCAAACCGTTATGACATTAAAAAAAAAAAAAAACTTTTATTAAAGATATAGAAGTGTGTTCAAATAAAATTATGAGCAAGATGGCAGGTAAATTAGCCAAGTAAATATGGAAACCAAGTTGCTTTCCATATAGGACTTCATAACCCTCAGAGTTGCTTTCTTAGAGTGCTATCTTGGGAACAGACATTTTGAAGCAAAATGCTGTCATAACAATAACATCTCTACCAATAAATATGTAGCATTAATGCCAAGAGCAGAGTCCCTGTGGAAAGCAATGAGGTCCTTCTGGGTTTATCTTTTATCTGCTGCTGGTCAGATTTTGTGTGCTTCGAGGACTCATTGGCAGTTAGATTAGAGACTTGAATAGAAGTGCACTCAAGGAGGATGTAAAGCAGCATTTGCTGAAATTAAACTATGGTTAATTCCCAAGAATGTTAAAGACCTGGATGAGGAATACTTTAAGCAGCTGAACTTTTGCAGAAAATTGCAGAAGTTGTGCAGCTGAAATTAGCAACTGGAGAAAGGAGGTGAATGAGGCAGTAGCTCTTGCTTTGCTGACTCCCAGGAGCAATGGAGGGCCCTGATAGCTGAAGTTAGCAGTCAAACAAAGTACCAGCCAGCCTGCCATCTTAGAAGGTAAATCGTTTTTTGACAGAAACAACGCATCTGACTCTCAGTCTTCTTGTTTCCTTGGGCTGTGTTGGAGCTTTTCATTCAATATCCCTTGCTGTTTACTGAATCAGTGAAATTAGACTGAATTAACAGATTTTATATCTGCTATGTGGACTGTAAACTAACACTTCTATAACAGCTAGTCATTGGTCAGGTGCCAGTGAACAAGGTTGTTGCTAGTTAGGTGCATGTATATTTTTTGTGGCTAAATTTTTAAACAAAGTTTAGTTGGTTTTTTTCAAATACCTAAAATGTGGTCATAAAGTCCTCCATGGCTATGCTTTTAGATAATACATATTTTATTATATAAAATAAAAAAAAAAGCCTGAAAGTGAGTAAACCATGGAAGATGGTGTCCAGAGAGGCTGAGAAAGGACTTGGACAACCTGTTCTTACTGTGACACTAGGCTTTAAGCAAGAGGTCAGACTAGATATTTTTCAGATCCTTTTCAACATAAATGATTTGATGGCTCTGTAGTAAACTGTCTGAATTACTAGTAAGAATTATCTGAATAGCTGAATTGCTAGATTTTAAAAAGCAATATGTTTTAATGCTGCTGCAAGCAAGCAATGAAGAATGCAATGGTTAGTTCAGGACTGGAGATTGTTTTCGGTAAGGATGTTCTTCTCACTCAGTGTAAGTTCTTTCTGGGATATCACCAAAAGGACAACACAATATTCAGACATATAAATGAAGAATGGCAAACACAAATAGGGAAATTATCTTTCTTCTGTATATAGCATCAATGGAGCAACTGACTGGAATATTGTATCCAGATGTGATGTTTGCCTTTTAAGACAGAAAATCATTTTGACATGAGGTTGAAGGACTTTAAACAAAGTTTATCAAAGAAAAGAGATAAGAAGGGAATGAATCACTGTATGTAGGAAGAGGCATAATGTTGGAAGGATTTAGTATTTAAATTTATAGTCTTATGACATAAGGTGATCCCGTGACTGGAAGTTTAACAAACACAATCTTGAGTAAGCTGTGCTGTTCTAGCTATTAGGGTAATATAGGGATTAATCACTTGTGATTGCCTGAAATCTTAACAAAAATCAGAGGTCTTTGTAAATGGCTTGCTTTGATCTAATGTCTAAAGAAAATACAATGGTGCTGGTATTCAGGAAGTTAGATGAGATAATGAATATGATCTGTTACTCTCCTGACTTTTATGACCCTTTGTATTCCCTCAAGAACTGGTGCTACATGGGCCAGAGAATTATTTCTGTGCAGCACAGTGCAATGCAATATGGAATGATCCAGCACCACTCTGAATGCATCCAGGGGCTGCCAGAGTAGCACATCTAAGTTTTGCATGGGATAATTCATAGAATCATGCGATGATTTTGTGTTGTAAAGAACATTAAAAATAACCTAGTTCCACCCCCTTGCCATGGTGAGGGTCATCTTCCAGTAAAACAGGTTGCTTAAAACCCCATCCACCCTAGTCTTGAACATTTCCAGGGATAGAGCATCCTCATTTCTGGGCAACTTCTTCCAGTGTTTGACTATCCTCATATCCTCTAATCTAAACCTTCCCTCTCTGAGTTTGTGCCTTGCACTTCAGCACAACTGAAAGCAAAGATTGCAAGTGTTGTAATGTCTTGTGAATTCTCAGAAGACTGAAGATTTTTGTCATCATCCAGATTTGCTTCTGGAGTAGCATTTTGCATCTAAAAGGGAAAGAAAACTTCCATTAAAAAAAAAATTCCAAAGGTTATTTTCCATGCAGTTTCCATGGCAGAACTTGCTATTTGAGGAATTTGATGGTTTAACAGCAGCTTGTTTATTGGGCAAAGAGCTGCATTGGTTACTCATAAGAAATGTGATTTAGTGCTTTCTGTGAACTATATGTGTTTCTCACAAGTACAGTTCATTTTGTCCCAGGAGAGCCATGTCAACTCAAATAATATTTCAGGTGAGCTGGATGCACAGCTACCATGGATGCACAGCTGTGTAGAGTTCAGTATTTTTCCACTGTACTACCCGCTACCCCAGAACTGCACTTCACTACAGGACTCATTTTAGATTCTAATATTGTGTAATGGATTACTTTTTGTAGGTTGTGCCATTACTGCTTTTCCCAAACACTGAAATCAATTTGGCCTTTTTTTCCCCCAGTTTTGCTAAAGATTTAATTGAAGTTGACAGCAGGGAGAACAGGGTCAAGCTTTGCCAAAATTCGCCTTGGGCTACATTGCATTTCAGGTGGGGGATCTGCTCTGCCTGGTGAGTTTCCACCTATAATCTACAGAATCCTCTAAGTTGATGTAGCCTCTTAAAAATAATTACTGCAAAAGCTAATAAAAGCAAATCTGTTGCTGGTGGGCCTACGTCTGCTGTTGGGGAAAGTGGGTTGAACCTTGGTGGGCACGGTCCACCCCCTTTCTTTTAGGCAGGGAAGCATTTTAAAAGCAGTTATAAATCAAACCTTTAATCTGTTATTACCTTTGGATACACATGAAATCTGAAACCTGAATCCCTTTTTTACTCTGACTTTAATCTCATTCTTAAAACAGTAATAATCTCATTCTTAAAACAGACTTATTTTGTCTGTTTTAAGAATGAGATTATTACTTTGTCAGTACTGAGGGCCTTTGAGAAAAGTGCAAATTACCCTTTGTGTGACCACAGATCTCTTCAGTTAGTCAGTCTAATGCCAGTAAAAGCTTCACCTGCAAGCACTGAACCTGCACTGAAAACATGCCCATAATGAATGAATTCACATAGGGTTTTGAGTTATTTGAACAACAGAACAAAAGTATTGATTTGCTCTCCTCAGAGACCAGCAGCATAATGAATTATCCATCGATGCTCGTGTCCAGTCTATTAATATACATTTTGGATAGAATTTTTTGATCAATGTGATTTTTTAACAATAAGCTTTTGAATGGGAAAATCCCCAACCCAACAAATAAGTAGACTTGTCCAAAGGAATATGTTTACTGGTTATGCTTCGCTGAGTTTCTCAGTGTTTCCCTCAAAATCTGCCTATACATGGAATGACAGAGAAGGAATATGTCATTGTGAAATAGATACTTTAAAAATGTAAAACTGCAGAACATTAAATTTTAAAAAGTTACAGATTTATAAATGGTGAACTAACAGTGATAGTTACTAGAAGGTGCATAGTTAACTATGGAGGCATAAGGAAAAAAAAAAAGTGCAGGGACAAGCCACCCTTGCATATAATTGCCAGAGCTAATTAATTTGGGAGCATGAACAGTGCAACAGATAACATTATGTATCAGATATTATCTATCATATATCATATCTGTCTTCTATTTCCTGAAACTTAGTACTGTGTTAATTTTCATGGAAGATCAGTGACATTATGATATGCATGTGAAAATGGGTGGGACCTTGATTGCAAGGAGTTATTGTAATTAACACTGATTTTAGTATACTCTGTAAGTACCTTTTTGAAGTCATAAAAATTAAAATATGATTAAGAAGCCCTTTTGGGATCTAGAGTGCATTTTCACATTTTAATTGGGAAGTGTAGAAAAGCAAGCTGCTTCTAAAGAT